GAGGAGGAGGAGGAGGAGGAGGAGGAGGGGTGCATTCAGAAAGGTGGGTTCTCCTGAGTGGGGGTGGTGTCAGTGGGAGAGCTGGCGGCATCTCCGTTCCCTCTGGGGCCGACGACTTTATACTGAAGAGGAGAGAGGAAGCGGATGAGTGGTATTGATTATAGCACTGAGTGCACATCAGTTTGTGTTTCCTGGAGATGTTGACTACATTTAAAACTCTCCATCTGCATCAGTTGAGTATTTGCTTTAACTGAAGCAGCTGCTGTGGATGTTTTTTTGTTCCTGTCACATTTTTACTTTATTTTTTTACTGTAGTACACACGTGGACAAAATTGTTGGTACCCCTCAGTTAATGAAAGAAAAACCCACAACAGTCACAGAAATAACTTGAATCTGACAAAAGTGATAATAAATAAAAATTCAATGAAAATTAACCAATGAAAATCAGACATTGCTTTTGAACCCTGGTTTAACAGAATTATAACTAAATAAAAATAACTAAAAATAAATCATATAAATTTCTCATAATGATAAATAAATTCAATTATCATACAAGAACTGAAAATAAATGGAATACATTTTTCCCACAGGTTTCACCAATATAATTTATAATGGTGACCCAGTATGCTATGTATATTAACTTTTAAGACTTGTATAAACTAGGTGTTTTTCATACTACTCTGGACATCAGCTCTAGATATTTCACAATGCTGAACGTATCTTCCAACTTGTTGACAATTTGCTCCTCTGTGTTATGTTTTTGAGCCGCGCTGCATAATTGGTAATTATCATGCATGTTTTATTTTCCCCCTCAATCTGTCTTGTTGTTTCCGCTTTGCTCTGCAGAAACAGCCAAACGTCCTTGCATTTTTGTCATGTCACTGTGTTGTCAAAGCTGAGTAAGTCATTGTTGCTCAATAGTGCTGAGAAGCATAGAATTTTGGGGGGGGGTTTAATGAAAAATCAAATTTTTTACACCGAGACTTGAAAGCTTTTCCTTAAGTAACATTACACCATAAGATAGGTTCATAGACCGTCAGAAAGGTAAAAATCAGGTGATTCTTTAAGTTTTTACTTTTTTTTGGCCTCAGATAAATTGTGTAATTTTGAAATTTTCTTTAAAAAAACATGGTTTTCTAACCAACTGCCGTGTTTGGAGCGCACTTGTAAACTGCATCTACTTACCTTCAGGTTCCCCATTTTATCCTCAAATGACTTGAAGGTTGCGGAGTTCCTACAGAACAGAGAGACAGTATTACATTCACAAAAACATGATTATAAAAATCAGAAATAAAACTAAATGTACACTGCAGACAAGAAGAAAAGTGAACACTTAAAAGTATACATATATTATATATTGTGTTATGTTGTGATGCTACAGTTGCTTAAGTTGCTTATCTATAAAATAGATAACACTATACAAAAAGAAAAAACTGTTTTTAAGTGATGAATGGTTTTATACTCATCTGCAGCCATACTAATACTTCCCTAACTTAACAATGTTAAAATAAAACATTATTTATATAGCACTGTGGGCAACAAGGCTTTACAAAGTGCTTTGACAAACAAAGCAGAAGTACAAAACCCTGAAATCAAGTAACAGTGAGCCCAAACAAAGCAAGGCAAAATGTATGTAAAACTAGGACAAAGATAACAAGAGATGCAAAAATTCAATACAAATAAACACGAATAGCAACCAGGTAAAGGGTATTGAGTGTAGAATGGGATTTGTTCATTATATAAACACAATGTTTATGTGATGATAACTAAGGGATGCGGATAAAGAACTCTCATAAATTACAAAAGGACATAAAATCTCAGCATTTCACAGCAGCACTTCAACATGTTCAAAAATCACAAATAATCAAAAGAATAGTTGCATACTGCCACATTCTTCTAAGCATGGCAATATCTGCATAAAAATAAAGTAACCTAATAAATAAATAAATAAATAAATAAATTCATTAAAAATTACAGACAGGTCAAATGTAAGAACTGTGTTACAAATATTTTGTCCACTATTGTATTTTATTTAATGTGTACTCCTTAAAACAAGGAAGCAGTATCATGACAAACACAGACATCAACAGATTAACAACAGCAAAAAAATAAATAAATACAGCAGCAGTTCAGTAATTAAAATGTGTGTTAGAGTGAGCAGGTCTGTGTGTTACTTTACCTCATGGCCGGCATACTTATCGAGTGGCGAATGGAATAGTTGCTACTTTGTAAGCGTTTAAGAGAGGAGACAGAAGTGCAAGTGTTATAATGCAAGCAAGCAGTGACACACACACACAAACACACACACACACAGTATGATGCAGCTGATACAACAGTTAATATGCCGTTTGATAGTTATTAGTTAGACTTATGTTTCACTGAACAGCACTTAGGCAGGGTTTTTCTTGCATAGAGGAGTTTTTGGTACAACCCCAAACAGGCTTAAGACATTATATAAAGCGTTAAATACTCTATTGTTCATCAAACGCATACAAATCTGTCAAACCAGGTAACAACCTTTACTGTGCTTGATCAATTATGCTCCCTGTTGTGTACAGTCACCTTCCCAAAGGCTTATTCTGAACCAGTAAAAACCCTGTTAGGTTGTATTAAATTAATAATACTTCTACTGTCAACAAAAGGCTGTGACCCAGATCATAAGTATTAATGCAATCTACAACTGCTGATTAACTCAGCCCCATAAAATAAAGGGTTACCACTGTTGTTGAAACCCTCTCCTGTTTACAGGCATGAAGAGGTTTTGATTTCACTCACTTTAATTAACATTTTAATCAAAATTGAGACATTCTGAAATGAATAATTACTTCAAAGAACTTTAGCATTTTTAAAACAACAGCAAATCTTAACATCTACGTGCTGGTTAAAAAAAAAAAACACTTTCGGGTAATTTAATGTAATAAAATAATAGAGGATGCAAAGTTTTTTAATCAATAACAGCAACAGGAAAAAGTAGTTTGGGGAAAAAAGCACAAGTCAGGATATTAATAACTAAACAGGCAGAGCTTAGCCTCCTTGACCAGTTAAAAATGTTTCTTTCAGGCCACATAATGAAGGACATGTTAGCCTTACCTAAACGAATTAGAGAAAGGCAGAGCTCTGCAGGTCAAACCAAGGCAGCAATTACAAAAAAAAAGAAGAGAGCGTGAGCCAAAAGCATCAGGACACAAACACAAACCAACACAGCTGGGAAAGTCAACACACACACACACACACAGGTAAGATGCAGCAATGTTATCAGCAGGGAAATCAGCCAGGAGAAGAATAGCATGGAATTTAGACAACAGATTGGGGCTGTGTTTGCTGTGTAACCAGTGACACCAGTACAACTGATGAAAAGTTAAGTGACTCATCCTCAGTGAGTTTCTGTACTGAGATACTGATTGACAGAGGTCACCACTACGTAAGGGATAATGCCCGACGAGGTGTCCATTATGTAAGGGATAATGCCCGACGAGGTGTCCATTATCAGAAAATAATGGACGACGCGGAGGCGTGAACCGTCCGACGCGAAGCGGAGGACGGTTGCTTCCGCGAAGTCCATTAATTTCTGATAATGGACACCTCG